GTAAGGGAAGGGAAGCCACATTTAGTTACTAAGGACCTACTGTGCGCCCTGGCCATGAGCATGGCCCTCCAGGCCTGTCACTTCCTTTAATCCAGCCCGCCACGGGATAAGTGATAAAAAGATAATCATCTCACTCAGGGAATTCTGAGGCAGGGACTTGTTAAAGGACTTATGCAAAGTACCCCTCTTGGCTAGTAAGAGTCAGAGCTGGGCTGAGAGCCGGACACTCCGATCCTCGCCTGCGTTCCTCCACCCTTCCGTGCCTGTTCAAACTGCCTGTGTCTCAGATGCCATCAGCTGCCTGTCTTATTGAGGACAGAATCCGACTGGCTTGTCCCTCCTCTCTGCAGCCCTGTGACCCTAGGTTCTTGAGGGAGAGTTGTGCTGCAGATGGAGGGGTATAATTGATGGAGGAAGGGAGAAATTAATGAGAAGTGACTTAAGAGAAGCCTCCGGTGCCTAGCACAAACACACACACACAAAACCTGGTGGTGAGGCCCTTTCCACAGCGTGGGATCCCTACTTCTAGAGATCTTATAGATCCCTCTTCTTACTGCCTCCTCCTTTGCTGGATCGCACCCTCCAGCCTTGCAAGACCAGAGCAGGCATTGAACTTGGGTTATGTCTTCCTGGATTTCAAGAGGTTCCTGTAAGAAACTACTTAAACCTTGCTTTTGAAGAACTCTGTGGTTTTGAGCTAAGGCAGGCGTTGAGTGTGAGGTGAGCAGACCTTGATGACAGAGGAAAATTGATGCTGGCCTCCCAGTGTATAGCTTATGCCCCTATAGCTGATGGCACAAAGGGTTAATGAATGACTTTAATTCAGGCTCAGGCGCAGAGTAACTCAGAAAGAGTTGTTACCAAATTTTAGTGCATTATCTCCATTCCATATTATTTCTGGTAAAACCAAGAGATAATATTTGAAACTCTCCAGATTTACACACATGCACACACACCCCCTCCATTCCTTGCTGTCCCTGGAAGACCTCCAGGATGAGGAAGAAGCACCAGAGCTGGGAGCTGATTCTCCCACTTACTGGTGGGGCCCTGGGCATGTGATCCTGAACCTGTTTCCTCCCTGGTAAACGAGGACACCTCACAGCCCTTCAACGTGCCGTCAGCATAAAGTGAGGGAGGCAGGTGGGCAGTCACTGGTCAGCGGTAGCTCCTCTCACTCCTGCATCTCGCCCATTCTTGGCCTGTCCACCCTCCCCACCCGACAGCTCGGGTGCACCAGGTGACATTCAGAGAATGCAGGTCTCCTGGTGGGATATGCCAGAGACGGGGGCAGACCACCACTCCCGCCCTGGGTCTCTCATCCAGGGCTTTTCCCGGCGTCAGGTGTACCTTTCCTGCCCGCTGTCCCTCTCTAGCAAACAGTGGCTCTCTGCCAGCCTGAACACAGTGTCTCAGATGGACCATGCCCGACAAAGGTGTCTAACTCTATCGGAGCTTTCAGCTGCTTATAATGCAGAGCTGCTGTACCAGAGGCATCCAGGGGCTGGGAAGGCTTGGTTAGCACTCTGGGGCCATGCTGAGTCCTGGCAAGGGGCAGACAGGCAGGAATCTGAGGGCCCTGGGGCCCCAGCCACCAGGTGGTGAGGCCCTTCCCACGGTGTGGGTTCCCTACTTCTAGAAATCTTATAAATCCCTCTTCTTACTGCCTCCTCCTTTACTGAGTCTCACCCTCCAGCCTTGCAAGACCAGAGCAGGCATTGAACTTGGGGTCAGGAGACTGGGGTGCAAGGCCAGGCTCTGCCACTTACCAGTTTGTGATCCACGGCAAGGTACTTATCTCCTTGGAGCCTCAGTTTGCTCTGAGCAATGGGTGTAAAACAAAGTCACAGACATGAGAGTGCCCAGTGCTCTGTTGCGTGGTGTGTTCTGCACAATGTTAGGAAGCAGTGCTTTGGAGAGGCAGAAACATAGTGGGGCACTTCCTTGTTAACAACTTTTTAATAACTTTGTGGTATAATTTACATACCATGAACTACATCCCTTTTTGGTATACAAGTCGGAGATTTTTTTGAGTAAATTTGCCAAGTATGAAATTTCACCACAAGCTAGGTTTGGGATATTTCCACCTCCCTAACAAGACCTCTCATGCCCATTTATGGTTAACCTCCACTCCCACCTCCGGGCCACCATTCCTGCACTTTCTGTTTCTGTGGATTTGCGTGGTCTGGACATAGCATACTAGATGGAGTCATACAATGTGTGGTCTTTTGTCACTGTCTTCTTCACTCAACATAATGTGCCCAGGGTTCATCCATTTTCTAGCATGTATCACTGCTTTCTTCCTCTTTGTAGCTAAATAATATTCTGTTGTATGGATGTACCACAAATGTTTGCCTATCAGTTGATGTACATTTATGTGGTTTTTGGTTTTGGGCTATTTATGAAAAACCTAGGAGTGGAGTGGCTGTCTTATATTTAACTTTGTAAGAAACTGCTGAACTTTTCCCAGCGTGGCTAAACCATCTTACATTTCTGTGAGAAATAGGTGAGGGTTCCATTTCTCCATATTCTTGAGGGCACTTATTATTGTCTGTCTTTTTGATTACAGCCATCTTCATGGTTGCACCTTAGTGGATGTGAAGTAGTATCTCATTGTGGTTTTAGTTTGCACTTTAATGGGGAACAGTTCTACATAAATCTGGGGAACATCAGGTTAGACGGAGCTATAGTCTTTACTGCAGGACTTCTCAGAGCCTTTAATATCCTAATGAGTATTGAGACTCCCTAAGGAGGGCTACCTTGTGCAGCCATTTCTCAGTGAGGTCCTGGTGTGACCTGGGAACTTAGGGTGTCTTAAAGGATTCGTGTTTTTTGGGAAGTGTTAGCTAAGGACAGGGGTCAGGAAACTCCAGGCCAAATCCCATCTGTTGCCTGTTTTTGTAAATAAAGTTTTATTGGAAGACAGCCATATCATTCATTTGCAAGTTGTCTCTGGCTGCTTTCACACTGCAAGGGTAGAGATAGTTAGGATAGAGACCTTATGTCTGGTGAAGCCTAAATATGTACTATTTGGCCTTTTATAGAAACAGTTGGTTGACCCCTGACCTCGGAGTGCTGGGTGCATGTAGACACTCACTTCACCTTTAGCTGGAAGGAGGCACTGGCCCTTGGGGGACGGGGAGGGGGACCAAGGAAGCACTGTGTGAGGCTTTGTATTATTCGAGCTGGTGCTTGAAGGACAGGCAGGATTTTGAAGGCGTGTGAGAACTGGGAAGGGCCTTCCTGGCAGAGAGAACAGTGGAATGAATCCTGGAAAGCGGAGAAGTGCGGGCTGTGCTTGGGGACTGGTGGGGACTTCCATATGGCCGGGTAGGAGGACTTCTGCGGTGACGGAAGAAACAGGCGCGGAGCTCCAGACCAAATTCGTTGCCTAGTTGTCTTCCCTGAGCGACACATTTCTGGTCCATCTTCCCCAGGATGGGGCAGTGGGTCCCAGTTCTGTCTCTGAAGTTGGACAGACGTGGCTTCAGTTTCTGCCTCTGCCTTTCCGGGGATGTTTCTTCCTAAGCCACAGTTTTCCCACCTGCAAAGTGAGAATCATGGTTACACTCACCACAGTCAGCATGAAGGAAGTGCGCACTGTCACTGTCCTTGTCGTTACTTTTCTGCCCCCTGAGGACAGGACTCTTCTGCCGTCCTCGTGGCTGTGGCCTTGCTCCTGGCGCACTCAGCAGCACGCAGGCAGCCCCTGTTCACTATCCCGAGTGAATGCCTGGGGCAGAGGTCTGAATTTCTTGTCCTGAGTCCCCGGCTTGGTTTAGGGCCTCAGCTAAGGGCTCTGCAGGAGCCAACCCCCTGACACGGGGAGAGCTGGGGGCCTGCTCTGGGCCAGAAAAGTGAGAACAGGACCCTGAAGGTGGGGGCTTCCAGAGGGGGCAGAGAAGGCGCATTTGTTTTGGTGATGGGCCCTTTTTTGTTTGTTTGTTGCTTGGGGAAACCAGAAAGGAGGCTGGAGCAAGGCTATTTATAGCCTGGCCCCTCAGCACCAGCTCTTAGGGCGGTCTCTGCGTCCCTGGCAGCGCTCCCCTCCATGGCAGGTTAAAGAAAGGTGATGTGTTTGCTGGCTCCGTGCTGGACATGAAGATGAGGCCCCCGCCCGTCTGGGAGCCGTTCCCACACCACCTCTCCCAGGCTCTCCGCTGGGGCGGGAGAGAGGGCTCTACTCTGTCTCCGCTTTCTCTGGTCAAACCTCTCCCGGCTCTAGAGGCTGTGTCCGAAAGGGAAGCGCCAGGTGTGAGGCTGTTCCTTTCCTCCAGACTCAGCCACTCTGTGTGTGTGAGATGCCAAGAGTTAAGAGAGGGTGATGCAGAACGGACTCCAGCCACTTCCTGTAGGCTGTGGAGAACGTAGGAGGAGCTTTGAGTTCGAGGCATCCTTTCTGGGGTTGGCTTCTGCCGAGGTAGTGGGGTGTGTGGGCATCAGAAGAGCTTGGTTTCAGGTCCCAGTCTGGGCCAGTGCCTTCACCATTCGGGGCCTCAGTTTCCCCACCTGTAAAATGGGTACAGTGATGCCCTTGCAGTAGTTGTGTTGCTGTGAGGGCTGAATGCGGAGAGATGCGAGGGCTCTCGGGGACTGTCTGCCTCAGTCCCCTCTGCTGCTTAGCTCTTTCTTACTCCTTCCTCTGAGTAGTTTGCTTTTAAACTCAGTCTTAGATTCCCCAACACTTTCCCTCCTTTTCCTGTAGAAATGACATCTCTGCCTGTGGATTCTTCCCCTGCCACCCATCCTGGGACTTCTGCCCCCTTCTCTCCTCCCTTAAACCCCATGCCTTCCTATATTTGAAACTCCTCCTCCCTCCTGGCTCTTTCCCCTTAACTCTCCCAGGCCTGCCAACCTGAAAATAAAACAATTGTAAGTAAAACAGCTCTTGTGCCCCGTGGCCAAGAACTGCTAGCCTCTGACCCAGTCAGAGCAAACTTCACCCTAAAAGCCACCTCACCTGGGTCTCACCTCCCCTCTGCTCCCCACGCAGGGGCAAGCAGCTCTGCTGGCCTCGCCCACCACTCTGGTCCCGAATCCCACAGTGCAAGCCCTCTCGCCAGGCTGCTCCACGACACTTGAGAGATGGGTGCTTCCCTTTCAGGACCGCCCTCTGCCTCCCAGGATGCCACCTTCTCCTGTTGCCCCCCCTGCCTTTCTGCTCACCCTCCTCTATCTCCTGAAAGGGCTCCTCCCTTCCTGTTTCTGTCCTGTAAGTGAAGGGGTTCAGCCCTCTCCCTCCCACTTCTCCAGCTCCTCCAGGATACTGATGTCTGAGGGCTTACATCTGAACCTTCTCCCTGCATCTCCATTCTGAGCTTTGAACCCCGAGACCCAATTGCTTCTGGGCCTTGCAGCTGCCTGGGTGTTCCATGAGCATCTCAAAATCATCCTGTTTAAAAGGTTGATTCTCCACCTCTTCTCCCTCTACCTCGCTTGGCAGTTCACTCTTGCTCAGCTAATGAGCCCCTATCCATTCAGGTACAAACCTGGTATCAGTCTAGACCTCCCACTTCCTGGCTACCTGCCACCCCCAGGCAGTCACTGTGTGCCCTTGCTGCTCCCCAACCCATCTGCTCCCTTCCAGGGCCAACTCCCTACCTTAGTCCAGCTCCTCCCCATTTATTGTCCAAAATAAGGCAAAAGTCTCTGCACTGGGCACTCTGCTCCCTTTCATCCTTATTGTCCAATCTTTCCACTGCAGCCGAAGAGAGCTTTCTGAAACTTGCATCAGATGGGGTCCTGCTAATTTTTAGGATTCTTCTAGGCTTTCATCACCCTCAGGATGGAGCCCCAGCCCCTCAGCAAGGCTCACATTCCAGTCCTTGCTCATCACTCCAGCCTCGTCCTCACCCCCAGTCTCACCCTGCTGCCCCCTGCACATGGAGCTCTTCTCTGGTCTCACTGAGCCCTTGTTCCAGCTTCCTGGCTTTTGCCTTTGGTGGCCTTTCTGCCCCAAATGCCTCTCTCTTCTTTGTTAACTGTCCTCTTACCCTCCAGGACCTCCCCCCAACCCCCACATCCTGATACTGGCCAGATCTGCAGGGAGGGTCCCCTACTTTTCCCTGTCCTGACCCTCTCCATACTCTGCTCTGTTTACTTGTCTGTCTTCCCCAGTGGACCATGGGCTCTCGAAGGACCTTCAGGCATAGCACAGTACCTTGCACACTGAGAAGATTTTAACAAGTATTAGTTGAATAAATTAATAAACGCCGGGAGGATACCTCCTGTGTGCTACTTTTATCCAGCGCACAAAGACACACAAGGTGGCTTGAGGGGGTTGAGGGGGTGGGTTTCACCATAGCTTGATTTACAAAGAAGAAAGAAAGGGGTGATTTTAGCATTATAGTGGGGGTCCAGGAGCTAGCATTGCAGCTGAAATTATGGACCCTGGAGCAGGATCCCTGGGTTCAGGTCCCAGCCCTGTCGCTTGCTCGTGGTATGACTTTGGGCAAATTATTTAATCGCTCGGCACCTCAGTTTCTGATCTTTGAAATAATAATAATAGTTGTACCTACCCAAAGGGCTGTTGGGAGGGTGAGGCGAGTTCATACTTGAAAACCTATGGAAAGAAGGGATCATCATTCCCACGTGAGGAAGCTGAGACCCAAAGTCACACAGCTGGTGAGGAGCAGAGCTGGGTGCTGAGCCCAGCCATCTCTGTGTGTGCCAAGGGCTGGAGAAGCAGAGGCATTGCACCTCCAAGCTGGGATTTCAGCCTCTGGGTGGAAGTCTCCGCAAGTAGTGTTCATGGTCTGAAAAAACTGCTTCGTGAAGAACTGCTCTCTTGCCTGGCTCTTAGCAGATGCATAGTGTTACTCGGGTAGATGTGTTCCTCCCGAGGGCCCATCTCATCTTCAGTATTTCCCACCCCTTGAATGATGGCGGGAGGTCTGTTCCTGGGGCCGCTTTTTGCCAGGGTGTTGGCAGCAAACTCTTCCTTATTCAGACCTTTCTTCTGTCCCAGCACTTCATGGGGGAGGGTCATTAAGAAAGTTTTCCCAGGAAGAGCTGTGCCTTCTCCAAGTCTCCAAATTGAGTGTCCCAGCCCCCATGCTCTCAAAGGCTGCCCTTGTGGCTTTCAAAACAACCCCACAGCCCTGCAGGCTGAGAACCTGGCCCCCGAGCCTCCTTTCTTTAGAAACTCAAGGTCCATTGCTAGTTAGAGTCAGCGCTGGTAATACCTAAAGAAAATAGTTTGAGGATGTTTTCAAATAATGTCTGGCGGAACAAAAGAGCAATTCATCCTGGGTAGCTTTTAGTAATCTGCTTCCCATTCTGGGAATTAGATTGTTCAATTAAGCGAGAGGGCGCTGAAGCAGGCTGCATGACTCAAAAGTTTGCAGCATCCAAAATTTGGAAAAGAGGGGACCTAAGCCAGCTCACTCCTGGTAGGTCTGCCCCCTTCTTTCTCCCTCCATCCCTGCGCAATTTCCAGTTTTCAGATTCTCCGTTTAGAAAACAGTGACATCAACAAGATGGGGGGGGGGTGTGCGTGTGCGCGCGCGCGCGCACACGCACACCCCTGCTAGACCTGTCTCACTGTTTCTTTATTGGAGAATTTGGAGTCTGCGGTGAACAGGACAGAGCGTCCCAGGTCATTTCCTTCTGCTGCGGCCACTTTCTTTCCTGTTCCGGGCGTCCCCCGTTTGCCAGCTGCTGCTGGTTCAGGAAGTTTTAAGGAGCAGTCTGTAAGGTGGTAGGTGTATGTCTTCAGCTGTGAGGCTCTGAGTCTGGAGACAAGGGAGTCGGTGAGCACCCAGAAGTTCCTGCAGAATTTTGAGGGCCAATGGGTGCATCAGGGTGTCTCTCTGGGGAGAAGGTCCGTCCCTTCAGTAGCTTCTTAAAGGACTCCCTCTCCAAGTCCTCTCAAAAAGCAAAAACAGAAACAAAAACTGCTAGAGCATGTAAGTCATTCCTTCATCACTAGGAGACTCTCCTTCCACAGTGGTGCTCAGGCCTTGCCATGCGTAAGCAACTCTTGGGGAAACGGGGCAAAATGCAGCTTCCCAGAAACCGCTCTAGAAGGATTCGGACTCAGTGGGTCCAGGATGGGACACAGGAATTTTTGTATTTTTGGCAAGCACCCCACAAGGTGCTCTGGGTCCTGCTTCTCTGTTATAATAGGTACTCTTAAAGGTTTCATTTAATATGGCCTGTAATTTTAAAACGAATTAAAGCCAACAACTGGGAAGACATAAGAAGCAAATGAAGTAACCAGCGTTAAAACTAAGTAGCTGTCTCCTCTCTTTCTCAAGTAACTTGGGCTTCTTTTTGCCCAACTGACCTTGGTACAGGGCAAGAGCTGTATCATGCGTGCCTTTTTATTCTTAGTATTAATATAGTGCCTAGTACCTAGTAGGTGCTCAATAAATATGTATTTAGGTAGATGTTTCCCCTCCTGGCTACAGGTCTGCAGCTGGTTTCCTCTTGAGTGAATCCCTGGCTGCACACAGCCTGATTTTGTCTGGGGGCCTGCCTGATTTCTCCGGCAGGGACTGGGGCTGGAGGGAGCCCGCAGACCAGCGCTAATTGGTGTCATTGAGTAATTAATGCAGAATCAGGCCCCGAGCGGATTCCCAGGGAGACAGACACTGAGGGAGGCTTTCATGCTTGGTGGGATGGGAGCTGCTTTCTCAAAGGACGTTCCCAGAGCGCCAGGGCGACTGGCGTGGTCTGGTGGGGGTGGTTTGGCAGCTGGAAAGGGGTTCGTGGAGCGAGTTTGGAGGGGGTTTGTGTTTGTGCCATGGTTCTGCACAATATGGAGCGTGGCGAGTCTGACTTTGGAGAAACACAAGCCCCAGGATGGGCTCTGGGAGCCAGGCCTGCGTCAACTCTGAGGGATGGATGGGTGCTGAGGGAGGGCCGCGGCTGGGTGCGTCGGCTGGGCGCGTCGGCTGAGCACACCCATGGACCCCCCTCCTGAGGCCTGGGCGCTCTGGGAGACCCCTCCTTGGCTGGCTATTCAAGGCTCCCCTTGAGTCCTCTGCTTTTCTTTCCTGCTTTTCCGCTCTGACCCCTCTGCCCCAGCATCCCCCACGGATCCCATGCTCTGTTTTCCGGCCTTTGGCTGTGCTAGTCCCCGGACCTAAAACAATCTTTGCTCCCTTACTCTCCTGGCTAAACTATCATCCTTCAAAGTCTGGCTTGAATATCACTTCTTCAAGGAAGCTTTCTCGGACCCCCGTGGCAGTCAGAGTACGTTGGGTTATGCTGTAGTAACAAAGATCTTAGTAGCTTGAAGCAACAGTTTATTTCTTGCTCACACAACATTTCTGACACGGGGTGACAGGAGGGCTCACGTCCTCACTCAGGAATTCAGGCTTCTGGAGGTCCACCTTGACATGTGCTTCTGTAGTGACAGCAAAAATGGGGAAAGAGGGAACATGGCAGATCACACCACCTGGCTCTGAATGCTTCTATCTGAAGTGACGTGTGTGCCGTTGGCCAAAGCAAGTTCTCTGGCTCCTACTGAGTTCGGCAGGGATGTACAGTCTCCCCCGAGGGAGGGACTTGGAATGTTTACAGCCAGTCCTGCCGTCTCCTGGCACCTTGGACCTAGGCTAAGTAGTTCTTGGTCCTTCCAAAGCCCCTACCATTGTAGCTCTGATACACCCACCGTAAACCGTCTGCCAACCAGCCTGTCTTTTCCCCCATGGAGTGAATCCATGAAGGCTGGAGGCTGGGTCTTGATTCTTTCTGAGACCCCCATGACCAGCCTGGAGTTTGTCTCAGAGAAGATGCTTGGTGAATGGTGGGGGGCAGGCCAATGAGTGAGTGGGCTATCTCTGCCCCTCTGCAGCAGTAGCTTTGCCCAGAGTGGGGTTCTGGTGGGCCATCTCCAA